GCAGGAGAGGCAGAGGATGCAGTGAGCTGAGATCGTGTCACTGCACTATAGCCTGGGCGACACAGCAAGATGGTCTCAAAAAAAATTAAATAAATAATAAAAAATTCAAATGACCAAAGTCCTGAAAAAAATCAATGGAGAATCTTCTCAGAGTAGAAATTATTTAAATGAAAAGCAAGCTTTCTGATTTTCATCCCATTTTTGTTTAATTTTTATTTCCTTTTGCTCCATCTGTTATAGAGTAAATGTGTTTCAATTTAGTGAAAACATCTTCAGAAATTAACCATTCCTGTTATAGTGTAAAAGTTTATTCGATTTGTGCTCAATATTTGTAAGAAACTAATTTACACACAGGCACATAATAGATTATATCTGTTGTCATATCCCATCAAAGTCCACGAGTCCCAAGTAGTGTTTCTGGGGGAACACCATCTTTACTTCACATGCACTGTGCATTCCTCTTGCTGCCTTCTTATATGTACCCTAAATATTAATATTTGCTGAATGAACAAACGAAGATATGTGGCTTTCCCTCTTCCTTTTGAACATTGCTTTTTGTTTTTCCTTTTATAATGCCCAGTGCACTAAAGTCATGTCATAGGAAAGAGTGTTCCCTTCTTCACAGTCCATATACTAATTACATACTCTTCTTTTTGGCCCATCTTCCCCAAGGGATAGTAAATGAAGCACCCATTCTATAAGACCCAGTTCTTTCCTGACTGAGATATTGTCCATAGGCTTCATTCTTACTTCACTAATGAGTTTTTTTTCTCTGTAGCTTTTACATCTTTATAGTAGGTCATAAAGAACCTCCAACAGAAAATGAACCAATAGTAGCTATACTTTATTTCATATTTCTATAATGTCCCTAGTCACAACCATGTCTGTTTCCTGTCCTTTTCTTTCAATAAGGGCTTACAACTTGGGATAAAATCATGTGCCCACATTTGTTGCATAGAACATAGTATCAATGAATTGGTACAAAAGCCATTCTTCTGCCCAAACTCCTGTACACACCACTCATTCAACAAACATTTCTACCTCCGACTGTGGGCTTAATTCAGTGCTTTGGAGTCTATAAAGAGGTACAATGAAATAATCCCTACCCTTAAAAGAAGAGATAATTTTTTGTTTTCTAAAGTAATTACCTCATTTGATTTCCTATAACAACTGAGAGAAGCAAAGAGAATAATTATTACTACTGACATTTTCCAAATGAGAAACCTGAGCCTAGAAATTGAAGTCACAGTACCAGTTATGCCAAGACCTCTACGTAACACCTAGGATTTGATTATACCATTGAATAGCTTTTCCTTTCTACAACATAGAGAACCAAGCATCTTGAGTGGTGAGTTGCTTCTCAAGCCGCACAAAAATATTTATTATAAATATTTCTCAATTATAGAATCTACAACAGGTCATACATTATGGGTATTTTAGACCTAAATGGAACCATTCAGTTCCCAAGGTTTGTAGTTTCTAGCCCTGCTAAGCACCAAACCACAATCTATTATATGAGGATCAGCAATGATAATTCTCAAAACTGGACAGTTTAGAAGATAACTGCGGTTATACGTTCCCTCATTCACCTTCCTACTTTTTTGGTCCTACCTCATTTCATTATCCTCTTACTGCAATAGCCTTTTACAATTATCTATCTTTCAATCTCCCCTCCCACACAACTATCCATTCACATTCTGTTGCCAGGTAAGCCTTTCTAGAGTATAATTATATTTCAGTAATTAAGCTTATCAGAACACTTGGATGGTTCCCCATAGCCTACTGAATTAAGTTGAAACTCCTTAGCCCCTTCATAAACTGACCACAACTTACCTTTTCATCCTTCACTTAGCCTGCAATGCAGATATACAACTCACTGCTTTCTGTTCACACTCCTCCCTTTCCCACTTTGATGCTTTTCTTGCTATTTCTTCTGCCTAGAATATTTACCTTCATCCAGACCCTTTTCCATGCTATTTTTAGCATAAATAACAATAAAATCTTTATTCTAAGCCTCCCCTGAGGCTCCAAATAGGGATAAATATAACTTACTTTGAACACACACACAACTTTATTTCTTCCCTGGCATTTATGAAAATAGCACAGGTTTACAGAGAAAACAAACAGGCAGATGGAATTAAGTTTAATCCTGACCTGCTCAAACTTGGGCAAATTATTTAACTTCTCTAAGTATTCATTTTCTTATCTAGAAAAGCTTTGCATGTTTTTTTGTAAGGATTAATGGTTATCCACATACATGCTTTTGGTCAATTCCTAGCATATATTAAGACTCAATGAATGTCAGCTCTTATTTTTAGATTCTGTTTTGTATTATATCTGTGTATATTATACAAACATCAGTATATTGTCTGCTTTCTGTGAGGGCTGCAACTACGGTTGCTATTTTCATTTTTCATCTTTTTTTCCATATAGCTCTTGAGACTAAAACCAAGTTTATTGTCAGTGATTATTAGTCCCACTGTACACCTATTTTATCATAGCCGAATTATGGACAATATCCATATCAGTGAACTGCAAATCCCTAGTAATCCTTAGTAGCAATACCATAAAATACACTGTCCTTTCAGTTCCAGAATAACAAAATCAGTTGGGTCAACTTATAAATCTTCTAATTATAGTTTCTTAGTTAAAATTTGGTCAGATAGGAAATCTAGGAAAGCCTAAAATGCAATTAACATAGCTCAGGAAGTCAGCCATTTAGATAGCATTGACAGCTATAAAAATAGAGTGGGGCTAGAAAATTGTTTGCTCTATTTCTCCAGGGTTTTACTAGGTCTGCTTTTATGTCAGTCCAGGTTGTGCCAACCAGGGAGAACATGAAGTGGTAAACCAAAAAGGTTGTAAAGTTGACTGCACCCAAAGTAAATTGAGTAAGTTCCATCACAAATGTGCTTTTTGTTGGATTGAAAAGAAATGGGATGTCATGAAGACTTATGGAGGGGATTAGATGATGTCATCATAGACCTCTCTGCAGAGGATCTGTGGGACATACATAATAATTATAGATATATAATTATATTTATATATGTATATATACACATATGACCATTAAAAGAATAATATTACCAATTTCTTCTTGGCTTTAAAATTGATATACCTAACAGAAAAACATTTTTTTTGGACTAAAGTATCTGAGAAAAAAGGCCGTATCTATCTCTGTTTTTAAGTGAGGGAAAATTTTTTTAAACATATGATGTGTTGGTGAAGGGACTTTGTGGGCACTTATGATATTTAACAGGCACTTATACACCAATAATTTTTTAAGTGAATTGGGAATTAAACCTTCCTATTTGGGGATGAGAGTGGCATTTAAAAGCCTCTAAAATATTTATGATCATTTATTCACTTTGTCATTCTCAAATACTTATGGCTAATTCTAGTTATTGTGTGAATCATAGACTAAAGTTATAAATCCAGGAGCAGAAATACTTGCCACGAGGCTATTAAGGTAACCCAGGTAAGAGGTAACAACAGTCAGATTTGTGGTAAGGGCACTGGGTGGGGCAAAATATGGAGTAGCTGGGCCATGAGATTGTGCCTCAATCATAAAGGATTCTCAAATTTTGGCTGCTGCCTTTGTAATTTGTATCAGAGATCTGTACCTCATATGTATAAACTAATATGGAATTATGTTCATACCCTTCCTCTAATCCAAGAGAGAGCTAAAAGTGATAGGATATATCAAAAGGAGAGGGAACTCAAGCCCTCTACCATGTTTCCTGGCCTTTACTGATACTCATATAGGCCTGAAATTAGAGAGAGAGAAGCAAAGACTTAGGATTCATTCAGGTAAAAAATAAAATGAATGGAAGTTGATATGTGCTTAGACATGGGACAGAGGGGGAAAAAGTGAAATACAAGAGTCTAACAAGTTTCTGGCTTTGGTAACTGGATGGACTATGGCACCATTTGTGGAAATGGAGAGCAGTGGAGGAAGAGCAGATTTTGGTGCTGATATTTTATATTTACTTTTGGACATGTTAAGTTTAAATAGGGCAGGAAAATATACATATCCTTAAGTCCATTAGGCTTTTTGAGTCTGAAGCTTAGGAAGAAGTTGTTGCTGGATTAAGGAGTCATCAATTAATGTTGAATTATATTTTCTACAGGAAAATTGTTTAATTCAACAAGAGGACAGAATCCTCGGTAAAATAAGCATTTGATCTTCAGGCAAAGAAAGGAATGCCTTAAGAGGAAATGACCAGGGAAATGGGGAATAAGGAGTGACTGAGATCAAGAGAATGAAGTATGTTCAAAAAGAGGAGGTCACCACAGTGTTAAATGTTGCTGAACTTTCAAGTAAGTTAAGTTCAATAAGGTTTCCATTTGCTTTACTTTTTTAAGAAAAAGTCTGTAGATGACTTTACAAGAAGAAGCATCAGTGGTGTGAGCATACAGAGGTCTGACTTTCTGTATAAAAATAAACATCTTATATAATTTTACATAATTAAGAAGCTTGGCTCTGGAGGGGAGCATAAAGGATTTGAATGAGAAGAAAGTTTTTCAATTTCTGTATCCCTCTGTTTCTAATATATTGTATGTTCTTTTATTTATGGGTTCACTGATACAGGAACAGCTTAGTTTGTACTGGCAAATAAGAACTATATATATATATAGTTGGCATTGTTCTAGTTTCGACATTTCACACTAGGTACCCAATGACTAAGAACAGCAAATTTTTTATATTAAATTTGTGTTAACTTCATAGAATAGAATAATTAAAATCTATTTCTTTTTTTTTTTGCCATACTATATTCAGCAAGTCTAGTCATTGGAATTTGCCCCCACATACCTTCAGGCAATGAATATATTCTTTAATAGATTTCCATATTAAAGGTAATAGATATTTTATGATCTTGAGAGAATAAACATATTAGCAATAAAAATTGTAATGGTTTGAATTATAATTTTTCAGTTTTAAAAAATAGGTGTTGGAAGAAATTTTAGTACATTCTATTAAACAGTGTACCATGTCTCACCTTTATAGTAACTTCCATGATCCTGGGTGTAGAATTATAAGACATATGCTGCTTCATGGAAAACAGTTGTTTTTTTCTTCAGAGGAGGAAATAGATTTCATTTCATCAATATGAAGTAATACATGCAAATTAAATTTTCAATTATCTTGGTCTGTAAGCTACAACTAGAATTACATGAAGTACTTTAGAAACTGCTTACTTTTTCATACCACAAATAAAATACTGTGAGAACCAACTGTTTGGCTTGTGACCTCATTATATTAATGTTATATAATTGAAAAACTACTTATGGGTGTCATTTATCACAATAATATTTAATATCTATATAGGGCTTTACAACTTATGAAATAGTTAGACATCTGATATCTCAAGTAATCCTCAGAATGATCCTATGAATTAGTCAAGGCAAGTATAAGTATTGCCATTTGACAAAAAGGAAACTGAAGTTCAGTATTATGGTGCGGTTAATCCAACTGCACTGCGTTTAGTGAATTGACAGACTTGGAAGTGTTTAGGAACAGTAAAACAAAATAAACTTTTCTCTTGAATTGTTTCTATTTGGGAAGACCAGTCATGTGAAACCTTAAAGAACACAATAGGACTGTATAGAATCAAGTGCTAAATAAGCTTCACTTCATACAAATCTAACTTAACAGGTTAACTGACCCTAACCTGTAAGGTCACTTCCTTAGTAGTGCTATAATTACTGGTTTCTAATGCCTTCCACTAACAGATATTTCTTTTTTTAAAGAAAAAGACAAAACAAAAGTTTCTGGTATCATCATCAGATTATTTGAACCTTGTTATGTCTGAAAACATCTATCCTATGCAGGAACAAAGCAAAAGCAAAACTTGGGCCTATGATGTCAAATGGAGAATTGAATCAGAGCCAATATGTGTGTTCGTTCCTAAAGCCAGAGTGTTTAAAAAGTCTTAAAAATGTGTTTTTATAAAAGGCCTCATATATTTTTTTAATTTACTAATCTCTCATGTCCAAGATACTTCTTCATCCATTCTAGAGACATCTTATATTTTTTTAAAAAGCTTACATTTATTGATGGTTTAATCCAAACAGTATTTAGGATGACATGACCATAGGATCATATCCAAAGCTTATTCATGCTAACCATATTTTATTAAGGCTTATCTCTTAATTAAATAGGAGATTATAGACTATGGTAGTAGGTTTATCCATGCACTGGATTTTAAAATATGGATTAGCAGACAAGTCAGTCCCAAGTAGTGGTACTACAAATAAGAAAACAAAACACAAGATATTAAAAATCAGCAACACAAGATGTTTGTTTTGAGCTCCCTCTGCCTTTTTGTTCCAAAGGTTTACTTAAATTAATGAAATGCTGCTATGTGGACTTCAGTTTCTCTCAGGGATAACACAGCTAGGCCTAGGCTACCTGGGATATGTTACCTCTGCTCTGTAAAACCAATCCAGTTTTGCTATCAGACTCCTCTTTCATTTTTACAAACTTTTATAAATAGGCATCCCTGTTATCATCTAGATGTCTGGCCTCCATGTTCCCTGAGCTGCCTTCTGATCTGTGGAAGGTCTCTCTGTATCTTAAAGAGGAAAAGCTATTGAGGCAGAAAAGCAAAATGGCATGAGATTGATGAGAGCAGTGTTTCTTTCCCTTTGTTCACCATGTCACTTGGGCTGATGACTTCACAAGACATCAAAAAACAGTACCCGGACATGAATCAACAATGAGAAGATAATAGTGGTAAAGGTAAATTGAGCCAAAGAGAACGGAAGCACAAATACATTCAGCAGTGTAGCTGAGAAAAGTCCATTTAATATATATTCACAATCAGGTCGATGATGAGTTTATAAAGTCAATGACAGATGGTCTACTCCTTGGCTCACTTCTAATTAGACATATGCCTCAAATATAGTGTCATTTTACAAACTAGGAAGGTCCTGAAGTCATATTCAAAACCTGAGCTGCATGCTTTTAAAAATTCTTCAAAGGCCATGCTCTTGTCTTCATAATCAATCAAAGAATTTGCATTTCTCTTGGTCCTGTGTTCTAAGAATGCAACCAAATAAAGGAATTTCAAACAGGTATTGGGTAACATGCTAAATGTTTTAGGAGTTTGTGAGAAAGGTGAGATGTGAGAGAAGTACAAGTCATTGCTCCTGCTATTAAGGGAGAAATAAAACATGATTTGACCAGAGTTGAAAGGAAGATAACTTTAACAGGAGACCAGAGAAACACAGAAGGTATATCTTGTGATGGAGGAGGTGGAAATGCCTTTTGGAAAAAGTGGGATGTGACTTGGGTGTTAAAACATGAATAGGATTTTCTTAAACATTGATGAACACAGAAAACTTTCCAGTTACATGGAAATAGGTGACTGAATCATGATGTGTGGAATACCCATACTGTGTGGGAGGTCAGCTAGTAGAACTTTCTGAGTAGATAAAAAAAATTCAGTAATAAAATGTTAATAATTATTATTACACTCGAGCACTGACAACAGAAGCTTTATATACTTCATTATAGACTCCCACAAAAACTATGCAAACAGGGATTATTAACCTTTTTTTTTTCTTTTGTCCCTATGTGTTTTTTCTAGGAAGTATGCATGACTCAGAGGGGTTAAATAAATTAATCAACATCCTGTAGTAATTGACATAATAAGGATTTGCATGCAGGTCAAGCTGATTGACCCAGGACAGCCTACTTCAGTTCTTCCTGCTGCCTCCCCCTATTATACAAAAACAGTCTTCTGAGCTATCACAGAATTTCAGTCACTCTAGCCCCTAAAATTCAGAGTCAGTAACATAATGATGTAACAGCAGAATAAGGCTTGAGATGAATTCCACCTTTATTTTTGTTAAAATGGGGCTTCAGTGGAAGAAAAAAATCTAGAAATGCAGTTTCCTTTATTGTGGGCCAAGATAAGTGCAATTCCAAGAGCATGTGCCCCATCAGAAAACACATTAGGAAGAGTTAAGAATACCCCCAATGTTATTAGGGTGCAAACCTGAATCATTTCGAATCACTTCACTCAGAGACTGCACAGGGTCTTTGATTATGGTCACACAGTTAAATGTCAAGAGACCAGTTGCCCTAAACCTCGTTAACCTCCACCATTTCCTATCTTTTACACACAGTAGACGTCTACATTAGTCTTCATTTTCAGATTTTCTGTTCCCAGACTTCATAAAAGAAGAATTTGCAAATAAGTTTTTATCATCATTAACAATACTATCGCTAAAGGGCATATGTGAAGTTTTATAATGGTTTAGCACATTAATATTTTACAATCAGACTTTAACATGCTTTTATCTTTTTTACACAAGATTAATATCCTGCCTGAATTAGTTTTATTACATGCATTTTCAATTTTCACTAAGCTGATTTTCCTGCACTAGAATTTGTTTTTTTTTCCTACAACTTTTTCATTCTCATTTGTAGGACTTAATACGTTTTATCCATCTTAATTTTTTTTTCACAGTAATGCAAGGATTTTCCTGTTGCGTTGCCACTTGCAATGCAGTCTCATTAGTTAATCACTCCATTTGGTGTTAAATCTTTTATTCTGCACAACATTTACAGTTTTGTTATCTCTGAAGCCTATACAATTGCTGTCATGCCCATGAAGGTTAAGTAAGAATATAGATTTAGCAAATAACTAATTTGATAAATACCGGTGATCAAATCAGGTAATTTAGGGTTATATTTTTACTTTAAGGAAGATTACGACTTTCATCAGAGGAATGCAAAAAGTAACACATTATTTCATATTTAGAACCACCCTAAAGTACTAGAAAATATTTCAAAAGTGTTCAAAATAAAATCTTGAAGTTAGTGCTTTTTATTCTGAAAAGTCAGGTTTGGTCAATCTTATACCTTTCCAATCTCTAATTTATTGAATTAGAGTGTAGACATAGCCTCACTCCTGGTTTATGTTTTGGTATATCAGAATGTGGAAATCAAAGTTTGGAGTCTCAATTGGACCTGAAAATATACTCTTGGTTGAAGCCTAGCTTAGCCTAAGAAAAACTTAAGGATAATAGAGAAGGTATAAAAGCTTACGAGTCAAATAACAAACAGTAGCAGGAAATGATACCTAGACAATAAAGGAATTGGAGAGACATTGATGCAAATTTGATCTTGAAAAAGAAATCAATCAGCATGTTCATATCTGTCTTCTCCCCAACAGTTACTGTGATCTCTTATACTGGCCTCTGAGGCAATGCCTCCCAAAACATATCCCTACACCAAAATTTTCCATGCTGTGTTCTGGTATTACTGGGCTACCCGCCAGATGGCTGGAGAAACAAATTAATATTCATTACAATACTTTTAATTATTAAAAATTATATAACATCCCTCACCCTCAAAGGGAACTTATAGTATGACTGAAGCCTCTCAGTGCCTTGATCCAGAGGCCCAAGTCTTCATCTTTTTTTGCAAGCCAATGAATTACTTTGACAATGAACAAGAATAATATTTCAGATGGCAATTAAATTATGCACACATAGACAAAGGGGTGAGCCAGGCAACAGGTCGACTCCATACACGGTGTTTTCTATTATTGTCTCAATTTGCCCTCTTATTCTTAAGTGATTAATTAGTTTAACACAATTGGCCTTAGGTTAAACTTAGTTAACATCCCTCCACCTTTATTTTTTATTTTTGCTGGAACTGTTTAAGCAGAACAAGATAAATAGAATTCCAGCTAGCAAAATCTTTACTCAACTCCATTCTTCCCACTGACTAATCTTAACACAAGAAAACTAGTCCATATAATCAAGGTTGAAAAGAACTTGTATACTGCAGAAATCATCTATCATTATATTCCCCCATCCAGAGAACATGGCAATCAGAGGCAGAATAATTTGATTGGCTGGAAAACCTGCATCAATAATCTTCTCTGTTCTATAAAATAAAACGAAGTGTGTTGAAAATATGATAGGAGGAAAAATTTTATAACAAAATTCCACTTTTACATAGGATTTCAGCAAGTATTCTGCATGACATGCGATAGGTGGGATCTGCAAAGATGCATATGAAACAGAAA